CCAATGGGGGATTGGAGGACCAGTAAGTATTCATTTGTTAATACCGCCCATAGGAAAAATTTAACCCTTGCGGTGCATGAGCTGTTGTTTTTTCTAAACTAAAACCTCAGTATTTGGGTTTTAATTGCAGCATTGGCACTTTGAAATAAATAAGTTGATTTTGTGTTGTAGTTTGGGCACTTGGGCTCAAAAAGGTTCACCATCACTGCCCTATGAGGAAAAAGGAGAGGGCATGAAACAATAGATTCAAATTACAGGAAATGGGGTTTTGCCTAACCATTTGGAAAAACGTCCTGACGGTAAGAGTTGTTCAACAGTGCAATGCACTGGCTCAGAAAGGTCGTGGGTTCCCCTTTGCTGAAGGATTTTAGGCAGAGTTGAGATGGTCACCTGCAAAGGATGTTTTAGCTCTCAATTTTCTGCTGTGGCAGAGGAGGAACCTGATGACCTTTTGTGGAATCCCTTCCAGTTCTAAAGTTCTATGAGAAGACATACGAAAAAGGCTTGCAGCAGTGATATTTAACCAAGGTAGCAGGACCCAATTACTATTCCAGTTTGCTTATTTGTCATAGACAGCCATGTTATCCTACCGACTGGCCACATCATAGATGAGCACTGAAAAATTTTATGAATTAAAACTCATACTGAACTATTGATTATTAAATGTTTGTAAGTAATCTGAAATCTGTTATATTCAGTTTAGAGAAGTACTGTAAAGAGCAATTTCAGATGGGATGATTTAGAAACTAGGCTTAGTTGCAAAAAAGGGGGGGGTTAAAATTATCTAAGCAACAGTGTATATGAGTGCAGTGGCACCAAGTGGATTTAAGGAGCCTTCAGATGAGGGTTATGCTACTTACCTGTCTTTGCACATATCCCTACCTTTGCTTTATGTAATGAAAAAACTCTTTCAAGATGGTACCATTCCTCAAAGAAATCTCACAGATGAATTGTTTTAAGCCAGCTGAGGAATGGTGAATATCTTTTCCCAGAGGGAAAAAGAAAGATAGTAGCTATGACAACAATCTGTAAACCACAGCCCAATGGGGAACACTAGTTTTCTGCTACCAATTAAATGGATACAAGATGTGTGTTAAAACAAAAGTGCTTTATTACAAAATATTTTTTCAACAGTTACAGAAATACCGTTAATATAACCCTTGCCCAAATATTTAAAGAAGCAAACTTTAAAAAATATTTTAACCCTAATAGTTGTCAAAAAGAATTGTGAAACCTGAGCACTGATACAGATAAAACATCATTTTCCTTCACTGAAAAATGCATGTGGAGAAGCACATGTGAAAATATCACAAGATAGATAACTTGAGGAAGAGTGGATCTTCCACTCACAACCCACGCAAAATAAAAGTGGGTTTTTATATGCATGCATTTGTTGTTTTCAGAGTAAGGGGGGAGGGAAAGATCATTAACTCATGTCAGAGGTCCACTGTAAACATACAGTAGTAGCCTTTTTAAAATTTGTAATGAGCTGAACAACTAAATCAGAATCTCAGACATACAAAAGTGCAAAGGCAACAGGAACCAAAGAGTATAAACAGATGGTTGCTTGGCATTAGGCTCTCACTGTAGATCCCCAACCACCCACGGTTGAGTGGATTTCTTCTACAGGAGGTCTCACAATCCATGAAGTTTCTGTCCTCCTTTCCTTCCATGCTAGGTTATCCGGAGGGAGTTCATCATCTAGCCGATCAAACTCATGAAGGCGAAAACGAGTTGCCAATTGGTTCACCATTCTTTTGAGGGCAAGAAATGCAGAAATGACCTGGAACGCCAGGAAGATGACAAAGATGATGTTCACTGCTCGTTCCAGTGGCTGGATCTTCAGACCTTCATTTAAAAGCAGGAACAGAATTAAGGGCAACTGCAAGAGAAGGCTCAGGAGCCAAAAGCCAGCAAGTTCAGGAACCTGTGAAGATGAAGAATTATCAATATACTGTCATTTTGACAGCTCGGAATGACATCGAAACTCTACTGGTCAAAATTTCTACATTAGTACAGATACTAAAAATGATGAACGTAAAGCCTCAGATTTCAGCAGAAAGCATCTCAGTGCCACATCACAAGATTTTTCTATGCCATCAATACTGTACTGTTCCCCTCTGTAGAGACCTCTTGCAATATTGTTGCTGTCAGAACAATCCTATCAACAGAATGAAGTGTCATCATCAGACTTTTCAGTCAAACATCTAAGCCAGATGTCATTCTCTGTATCATTCCAAAGACAGCGAGAAATAAGAGAACATGAACAGAAATGGGGTGCAGTAGAAGGAAGAAATCACGAGTTACTTGCCTTTCTCTTTGAACAGGAAATGCTGTATTTTAGCTGTTCTGAACAGCAGCAGAGGGAAAATTATACTGATCATTTCTCATCTGCCTCACTCTGTGTTCATAGTTAGTCTGAGGAGTCTTGTGGCACAATGGTTAAACTACAGTATTGCAGTGAAGATTCTGTTCAGGATCTGAGTTCAATTCTGGGTGCAGGTAGCTGGCTCAAGGTTGAATCAGTGTTCCATCCTCCTGAGGTTGGTAAATTGAGTACCCAGCTCATTTGGGGGGCAATGTGTAGCCAGCATGATTGAACTGTGCAGAGACTGAATTGTGCAGAGAGAGCTTTAAGCACTGTGGGGCTCCATATAAGCAGCACACTTTGCTTTCTTTAGTAATAGTGTGGCAGTAGTAAGTTCTGGTCATGTAATGCTTTCCAGAAGAGGAAGACAGAATTTACAGAGATAGAAAAAGTCAAAAAGTCCACAGTTGAATCAGGAAGAAGCAAATATATATAACATTTATTTCATATATTTTATTTTATATATAATAAATAAATAATTTTTAAAAAAATCCCTAATCACTGGCCATCCTTAAAATCCGTATGAATGTAACCTGACATATACAATCTGCTACAATTTTGTTACTAGCTTAGGACGGTATACAGTGTACTCTGCACATGAGCACAGACATTCCTTTCAGTAATCTAAGACCAAGCCTTATACAAAAGACTGACTAACTTCAGATGTCGGAACTGTAGATACCGTTTCAGATCAGAGAGATAATTCTGTCTATCTTAGAAGTTAAGTTCCATCTTGGCTTCCTTCCAAGTAAATATCCACAATTAAGCCCCAAAGTCTAAATCATATTTCTCATTCTACAGGTGCAGTTCAGATCCTTGGCCTACATTATTTATATTTTCTTCAACATTTCATAACTTTAGCACTGTATTTATCAACCTTCAGCATCTATATAAAGGTAGAGGTAAAGGTTCCCCTTGGCAATTTTTGTCCAGTCATGTTCAACTCTAGGGGCCGGTGCTTATCCTCATTTCCAAGCCATAGAGCCAGTGTTTTGTCTGAAGACAATCTTCCGTGGTCACATGGCCAGTGCAACTTAGACACGGAACACTGTTACCTTCCCACCGAGGTGGTCCCTATTTATCTACTTGCATTTGCATGCTTTCAAACTGCTAGGTTGGCAGTAGCTGGGACAAAGCGACAGGAGCTCACTCTGTCGCATGGATTCGATCTTACAGCTGAAGATCTACAGACCTTACAGCACAGAGGCTTCTGCGGTTTAACCCGCAGTGCCACCACGTCCCTCTTATAGTGTTATAGCATCTATATAGTGTTCTACAATTATTAATCCTTAGCATGAAAGTGTATTTCATTTACATTCTCTTGCTAATCTTCACAATAGCCATGCAAGTATGGTTAGTGGCATTACACTTACATATTAAAGTACAAATTATAGCAACTGAAGCCAGGAGAACAGTGGTTGTACTGAAACTTTGGCTAAGGAGGGATATGAATCAGAGACTTTCTGGTTTCTTACCCTCTCACCTACACCTGGTCATCAGACATCTACATATAAGTCGTGTATGTCAAAAAGGACAATTTGGACAAACTCTGTAAGAGTTTAAACAGAATGCTGCCCTGGTCTTTCATCTCTGTGCCCAGTTATTAACTTCCCTGTCCTTTGCTTCTATGGACTATAAGGATATGAAGCAAACATACCTTCTCCTGCAAATTTCCCATGTATCCTAGGTACAGACGGATAAACTCAATCAGAGATGTTAATATAATGACTGTCACAAGGATGAACTTGTAGTAATCTGGTAAAACTGGATACTAAAATCGAGAAGGGAGGGAAAAATTATTATTGTACTTGAACAAGGTCTTACATAGTTTTCTTAGAAGCCACATCACACAGAAAACCTAAATGTTCACACTTACCTGCTTCTGATTCCAACTGCAACAAACCCTGTTTCCAGTCAAATAGGTCTCTGTGGAAATCTTAATTAGCAATAACCATTTCTATTGTAGAGAGTGGAAATGTTTGGGTACTGGTCTTCTTGAAGACTTACCTTCAGCTGCAGCATGACTACACTGCTCACCCACCAAAAAGGGAAAAAGAAAAGGTTGAAATAGAGGGACATCTGTAAAGGCAAACTGGAGACTATTTCATTATCTAGAAAGACAAAAAGAGGAAACAACTCTATCAGCCACTTGAGAGGCATTCTCTTCTACATGCTAGTGGCTGCAATCCTATGTACAATTACATCAGGATAAGTCTCCAATATGTGAAAGAGATGCTTCTCAAGAACTGCAGTTCCACATGCCATGCTCAATCATCTAAGTATATTTTGACTTCTCAGGTACAGAACCAGCAGTAAATATACTCAACATTAGTTCTCTTCCCCGCACCCAAGCCAAATAAGGCACCTTCTTGCTTGAGTCAGAAAGACTGACATTGTGGGTACTCTGCTGTAGAGGCTTCCTTTGTCTAAAGTCAGCCATCTTGGTCACACAAATAACAAGATAGATAAGCAAAAGGTGTTTAAATGTGCTCTACATTTTAAAGAAATTAATTCTGTGTGTGTGGTGGTGTAAAATAATGGCCATCCTACAATTAAAAAGCTTTTCATTGCATTATATCACCCGCAACTCCTTTATGGTCAAATCATCCTCATTCTACTCCTGAATACACATTGGGGACTAAATGAAAGCTAAACTCTTAACTAATGAGTGCCACCAAAGAGCCATTTGGAAACAGATGCAAAATGCTAGTGTTTTTATTTTGAGAGGAAAGAAGTTGACCAGAAGGGGATAAGTGATCCTACGGTAAATAGCAATCTTTTCTCCTGCTGCTTCTGAGACTGGAAAGAAACAGAGGACAAGGACTTCCCTCCCAGGAAGGCCCCAGTCCCCTCTTCCTCCTCCTCTCTTTGCTGCTGCATGTCTTCTGAGTTTTGATACTGGGGACAGGTGGACAAGGATGACAGCAAGAAAAAGAAGTGACTATTCCCAAGCTACCCTCTTTTGCTTACAGACACTGACAGGATATACTGTACTGAGCCTGCCTACGGTTTGAACAGCTACCTCTCCTTGTTCACTCACACAACTGAAGTTCCAGGGAATTCATTTGCTTTCCCTGGTCTATAAGAAGGGAGAAAAATCTGTAAGCCAATAACGCTGGGAGAAAAGGTTTGCGCGCTCTCTCTCTCTCTGTGTGCGTGTGTGTGTGTAATGTCCTAATACACATCTTCTCCCCTCTCACCGCTGTGTGTGTGTGTGTGCGTGCGTGTGTGTAATGCCCTAATACCCATCTTCTCCCCCTCACCGATGCCAGAACTCACTGATCCAGTACAAATGCTGCATGTATTCTTCAAGTACTAAAGCAAATTAGTCCTATTCATTTATTAAGGAACGACGCTCATGGGGGATACATTAGCCCAATTGGTACCCTTTCCCTCTTCAGACAGTCACATTTCTGTGTTCAATGTGATAAAGAGATCCAGGCTAGAGTGTTTCCTTCAATGCATGTGTGCTCCACACATTCTTAATAACTGAGTAAGGCTATTATCTGTCTCATTTTCACACTTTTATGCATGTACATGTTATACTACAAACACTAGCTATGGGTCTGCTACCTGTATGTAACATTGTGTACACTCCCTCCCTGTGACATCACATTGACTTGTCCCTGGTGTCAGTTTTGGCCTGGAAAATCAAAGTACAGTATGGTACAGTATGTGAAGCTGCTGGAGCTGACAACTTAATTCACTCACACTTTGCATCTGTCTGCTTACTCACAGCAGGTATGGGGTGGATAAAGAGTGAATGCATGAGATAAGAATGAGCAAACAAAAAGCATCTGTGCTCTCCTGCCTCACTGGCTGGTGTAGAAGACTGTTCTAGTTGGGCCTAAATGCCATCATCATGCCATCCCAGAGGGAATGAAGTAACCGCTCCTTCTGTGGTTCACACCCCTCACCAGGGATTATGGTGCACTGGCCAGACGAGAAGTGTGAGCCAACATCAGGCAGAGGGGGCTGCCTGTGATTTCTCGCTGGGTGTAACTGTTCAGTGGTTTAGGTCTCCATCTGTGGAGCCAGAGATTGAGAGATGGATTCCCCACTGTGACTTCTTGACAAGGGCTGGACTGCATAATTCATAATGTCAGCATTGCAGTTCTAAGATGATGATGGTGGTGGTCATCCTAATCCTCCATGATGTGGTATTGAGCAACAGTTGAACAAATGAGACAGAAGAACAACCTTGAAAAAGTTCCTTTGATACACTACAATTCTAAGAATCTGATGGCCGTTAGATGTATTAGCTGGTGGATTCTATCCCTTTTAGTCCAAAAAAAGCAACTTGCTACTGGTCGTTACTATTTTTCCCCGCCTGCACCAGGAGCCAGGGTCACCCTTGGCGCCTGGGGAGGGGAGTTTAAAAAAAAAAAAAAGGCGCATGGCTGGCTGACTAAGGGCCAGTGCTGCTGGGGGAGTGCGGGGGGGGCAGGAGAGGTTTCCCGATTGGAACATATTCGGTCCGGCCCGACAGAGTATAAGGGGGGGCTCCCTCCGTCCTCCGTCAGCCTTCAGCCGGAGACCATAGTGAGCGCAGCAGCGGCGGCCACGACAGGAGCGCGCGGCCTTGCAGAATCCGGCGGGGCCGAGAATATCGGGCGCGCGGGGGACGAAGGACTCGCGTTCTCCCAAGGGCTCCTTAAGAGTCCCCCCTCCCTTCTTTGTGTGTCTGTGCGCACGCGCGGCTGAGAAGGGCTCAGGTCGGGCAAGACAAGGCTAGTGAT